CCACCACTTGGGGACCTAGTGGCAGAATACAACGGTGTAAAGCTCTTTGCAACAGTTAGGGACGGAAGGCAGATGTTCGCCATGTGAACGCCGGTAAGTACACCGATTCCAACCGGCACCTATACCGTTGCAAATGCCCCGTCTGAACACACCCTCTGTGTAGAAGGAATAAAAAATCAAGAACCAAAAAGATAAGAAAAAAAAACCCTGGTGGTGGGCCAGTACTTAAAACCTCATATAAACTTATTATAAGTAAAATACAAATATTTATTTTGAGAAAAGGTTAAAAAACATATAAGGGCCCAATGAAAGTCTCGTTAACATTTACAAAAGACAAGTAGACAAGGAATAATTATTGTGACCTAATGCATTTCAGGGTTTGTTTGCACTTTTTAAAAACCTTTTTGGTTCTTGATTCAATTTTATTGGGTAAAGTTTCTTTCCCCTCTTTGGTTCTGAAGGAATGAAAAATTCCTGAATAAATAAGTTGTTGTTAAGTTACTGAGACCACTGGTGCAGACTTGTCTGTAGGAGACCAGATATATAACACATGGAAGCATATTAAAGAACTCTGTAGAGATACAATCTGTCCAGATAATCCACCTGTTGACCACTCCAGAAAACCCGGAAAACATCTGCCACTCGAGTTGCCAGGCATGGAAAGGGGAAGACTGGGTGGCAGGGCCACGGGTGGGCAGCTGTCAGCAACAGCATGACGTTGCTTCTGGGGAAACCCAAATGTGATGTCACATCTCTCTAGGAATCACCAGAAACTCTATGGTAAAACCATAGAGTTTCTGGTAATTTCTAGTGAGGACTAATGTCATGTCCAAGTTTTCTCCTGATGCCACTAAACATGGCAGTGGGAAACAGAAGCCAGGTGGGAGATCCTCTGCCCCAGTGGGGACCTGGTTACTCTTTTTACCACTGATATATTCCTGGGTAGAAAAATATCCCAGGTGCTAACAGCATTAGCCATTCTTAATGTTAGGTGTCTTCCGTCTTGTGTGAAAGCTTTATTCAGGATCTGTTTATTATGAAACAAGTCTTTTGCCATGACAAGCAGTCTGTTTTTTTGTGGGATGTTTTTCTACCACGAGTTACATTGGAGTCTGACTTGAGATATTAAATTCCCTCCCCAAAAAACTGGGTTAAATCACAGGTAAGGACACCAATAATGGAATATTCCTCAAGTAAAACTTAAATTCTGCCTCACAGAGAAAACAAGCATGGTGGGGGTAGGGCTAGATTAGTTTCTTGACACATGGTTTCTAACTTGAGGGAATTTGATTTTTGATGATGCATTCAGTCATGTGAGCCCCACCTGTGCTATGAAGTTTTACAGCAATTGACATAAATTAATTATGCCTCAGTTGCTTCAAAATTCTCCAAAATCTTTAAGATGCTTAATTATATCCTGGACTGTGCCTATAGTTTTCCTTGGCATTAAGTCTGTTTAAATATATTTCAGCCTACCTGGTTATGATTCGGAGTGCCATATACGTTGTATCTATCTCAGCTTTATCTTTCCCTTCCTCCAAGAAGCACAGGGCAGCATATAGTACGGCTGCCAACTTCAAGGTGGGACCTGGAGTTCTCCCTGGATTGCTAATAGTTTTCAAGATTCTCTCCTGGAGAAAATGGCAGCTTCAGTGAGCAGAGTCTGTGGTATACCATAGAGTCAAGGAGAAACTAAAATCCTAGATCGTTTACAAGAGAGTGGATGCTGTAATCCATTTCTCCTGTGATTTTAATATAGAGATTACGTGAAACTGATTCTTACCTGTAAAAGACGCTAAAGGCCACAGGCCAGTTGGGGATTAAGAGAAGGATGGGGCTGATGTAATCTGGTATCTTCCAAGGTGCCTTCAAAGTGGATTTTTCTCTTTGACGAAACCCTGATGAAGCTATTAAGAGGGGGTTTTTTTAGGCTGAATGGGACATAACTGAATAGCTGCAAACTACACAAATACAGACATTTTGGATCAAAGAATGAGTATGACATACAGAACATACACATATACAGAATCCTACAAGTGATATCAGGTGGGAGGAAAAGGCCAGGAGAAGTGATATGGAGTAGGAAATTAATTTCTTAACTTGAATTTTCCTGGGAGGAAGTAGAGGAATTGGACCAGCTGACCAGAAAGGGGAGGGCGAAACTGAGCTTTGAGATGGACACAACATTAAATGATTTGACATCACAGTGAGTGACATCACATCCTATTGAGGTCCCTCCCCTCCCAGACTCTGCCCTCCCCAGGCGCTGCCCTCAAACCTCCATGAATTTTTCAAGTCCTAGTGACCCTAAGTATATATAGCCCTCCCCTCTATTTTAGCCTCACAGAAACTTTGTGAGGTAGGTTAGGGTCAGAGAGAAACTAGCTGGTGCAAAGTCACCCAGTTTGCCTCACGGCTGAGTAGGGATTTAGACTGGAGGAGACCTGGATCCTAGTCCAACACTACAAACATTATACCATTCTGGCTCTGAGAGAGCAACATATATGAACATGCAGGGCTATTTTTGGGCAGGAACGCCCAGGAACGGAGTTCCGGCTGGCTCCCAAGTTAGCCACAACCAGCAGGAACTCATTAGCATAACAGGCCACACCCAGCAGTAGAAACTCATTAGAATTGGCTAATGACATTAGGGGTGTGTGGCCTAACATGCAAAGGAGTTCCTGCAACAAAAAAAGCCCTGGGTTTTGACAACAAACAAGGTAAACAGAATAAGAAAACAAAAGGTGGGTGTGGCTGGATGACCACACTTCTGGTAACATGGGAATGCGGCCTAATATGCTAATGAGTGGTGCAATCAGGGGTGTGGCCTAATATGCTAATGGTTTCTGCTGCTGGGTGTGGCCTATTATGCTAATGAGTTCCTGCTGGACTTTTTCTACAAAAAAAGCCCTGTGAACATGGATGTTTTTGGAACTACTGTCCTGCAGCTTCCCATCCCTTCTTACATAACAGGGCTTGCAGTGGCTGCCTCCTGCACACTGCTCTCCAAATCTTTTTTTCTGATAAGTGCTTTTATGTTGTGGTGAGTCTGGAGTATTGTGAGTAACCAGAAGCCATGAATTATGATGACAATACAGACTGGGAAATCTATCTTCCTATCATGCCATGCCATACTGGGATAATGGGCAGTTTAAATGGATCAGCTGTGCCTGCAGAATATCTCCCCTGATACAGATGTGATTTCCCTGATATCTGTAGTTTGGACCATAGGTTAGAGTCAGGTGTACATGTCACTGATGTATATATAATCATAAGCATGGAAGGAAAACATTCTTTCTCTTTGGGACTATTTTTCTTATAGGCACATATTTGCTGATTTAATGGTTTAATAGATTACAATTCATTAGTCAACTAAGATTATAATTAGGTGCCCGCCTTAGGAAAGAACTAACTATAAATCATCTTGTAAATGTTTGATCCGTTATTAAACTTTCTATTTATTCTTTTTTGTGATGCATTAGGCCATCTAGAACTAGTCTGGGGACCACAGTCTCTTTTTCGAAGGGACAATAGTGTTGTCAGTCTGACAGGCTTGGTCACTGTGAATGAGTTGGGAGAAAGAACAAGAAAGGAATGGGACTTTCTAGCTGGGATTAGCTAGAGCTGGGGTGCAACTTGGGGGGGGGGTGTCCAAATTGCACTTGTCGTGTGTAAGGTGGTCTTCTTGCAACAGGAAGTGCCTCCATTTATCAACTTCTTGCATGTAAAGCAAATATTGGAAATGCAGCTTGAACTTCTACTGCTCTTCCATCCAAAGGAAACTGAATTCAGAATGTCTTGATTAGGGATGCTGCCATGAATGTGTTCAACAGTCGAACTTAGTGTGTTCGAAGGTATCAGTCATTTATGAGCCAATCATCTAGCCTGTTCAGTTTTCATCAAACAACCATGAATGCCTGCCAAAGAGGTTGCTTTCGGTTTTTGGCAAAACTATGCATGCACTAAGAATCTTCTGATTCAAACTGATTGGCAGTCACTGGGTCACTAGCAATGCTCCCTCTAAGCTGTGGAGTCTTGTGAGCAAAAATTCTACTTTGTGAGCTACTGGCATTAAAGTTGTGAGTGAGCAATTTGGCTACTGCATAAGTTAGCTTGCTCTGGAGCCCTCCTTCCTGAGCTAGGACAAAAATCTGTGATCCGGAGGCTAAAAAACTGTGAGCTAGCTCACACTCACTCAGCTTAGAGGGAACACTGGTCACTAGGGGCAGCTTCGATGAACTCTGAAGGCCCTAGCCTTCTTATTAAAGCACAGTATTTATTTATGACTGATTTAAATAAGTTGTAACTGTTGTAATTGTCTATTTGTGTGGTAAGGATGGAAGGGTAGTAGAACTCTTTCGGGCTGTGCGACAATGTTCATGTAGAAAAAGCCATTTGTGCTATATTGCATGGTCTGGAAAGAATAAAGTGAAGTAACCTAACAAATAGCCACAAATGGGTCAATTAACAGTCAAACTGAAAAATCAGCTCCATGGTTGTGACCAGTGAACAGGGTATGAGCCCAACTTGTGGGTGATCAAGCATCACTACTTCCATTGCTTGAGGAAATGGGGAACATATTCATAAGAAAATAAGTAGATTGGTTCATAGCAGTCATATTATTTTGATTTTTGGGACATGACATATATAGAGAAGAGAAAAAAATGCATGCCACCCTGGGCTCCTTGGAAGAAGGGCGGGATAGCAATGTGCTAGATACAGAGTATCTATGTGATACCTATGATTCCTTATTCTATATTCTATGCACGTTGATGTGTATCTGTAACAGTTTTAGCAGACATAATAATGGCAGCAGAAAACTCATGTTTAAGTAACCAATGTCATTAAAATCTAATTTTATTATTGTAAACCATTTTTATCACCTTGTACTTGGGTCTCGAAGTTAGATGATTCATATCTTGCTTTTAGTTGTTACCTAATTCCTAGACACTTTATTGTGGTGCATTTTAAAAAAATATGAAGCATTTTGTCTTTGGCAGGAGTCAAGAGACGTGATGTAATAAAGTGCATGGTAAAGATATCACAGCTGGATTTTTTGGTAACAGCATCTCAGAAAGGAACACTAACTATTTTTACCAGCCAGGTAATTTCGAAGCAACTTTCATTCTTCTTTATTGTAGTAACGTTTCCTAATATGAACAGAATGTGCAAATGTTTCTTCCCCCACTGACCACAATATTTGCTGATTTGCTGTTTTATCTGATAGGCACCAGGCCATTATGCTTGCTGATGCTAGAGTAATTAAATTGGCCATCCACAGACAAGGGTGGGGCTTCTTCTAGGCTGGCTAGTCCGTACTGGCACAGGCCAGATCATGACACATACAAAACAGTTTGTGAAATTATAAAAAGACAAGCACCTCAAAAAGCAAGATGAGAGCCAAACCTGCTCATTGCTTATCAGGACATACGGAGGTGGTTTTCACATGGTGATGGACTGGCATGGTTTGCCCATTGCTGGTGCTGCACAGCAGCAACAGGACTTCTACATGGCAGGTTGCCCTGCAGCTTCCCTGCCCCAGTATCCAAGCAGTGGCCACCAATGATCCCTGTAAGCTGTGGAGTCTTGTGAGCAAAAATTCTACTTTCTGAGCTACTGGCATTAAAGTTGTGAGCGAGCGATTTGGCTACTGCATAAATTAGTTTGCTCTGGCGCTAAGACAAAAATGTGTGAGCTGGAGGCTAAAAAACTGAGCTAGCCCACACTAACTCAGCTTAGAGGGAACACTGGTGGCCACACCCCCTTCCCCTTTGAGTCACCAGGACTCTAAAAAAATGTTTTTTGAAAAATCAGCACTAGGATATTGTTATATATAAAAAAGGTTATACCAGTATCTGTACAAGATTCTCTGAATTCCCAGTTTTTATTTTAAAAAGTAAGTCTAGGCCATTCTATTTCACTGATATGCCTTTTCCTTTATATCTCTGCAATGGAGAGGGTTAGAAACTTTTTAAAAATGAAAGCTGTGAATTCACAGAACTTGGTACACATATTGGTATAATGTATTGATATAACAACGTTCAAAGGCCAAATATTTTAAAAATAATAACCCCGCTGGAGGTAGGAGAATGAAATGGCTGCTGTGGGGACACGGTTAGGTAAAATGGCTGCCATGTAGGTCAGAAAGTCTGAGTTTTCCCACCCACACACCAGCCATTTGGTTTTACTGCAATCTTTCCCCCAAAAAAGCAAGTTTGAGAAAGACTGAGAAAAGCTGGGGGAGCCCCAAGAGGTTCATGAACCTGAGGCAAACACTATGTGGAAATGGAGTATTTAAGGCTAGGGATGGGCACGAACCAGCTCACAAAGAAAAGTTCATGACATATTTTGGGCAGTTCACGGCAGGACTCCCAGCACAAACATTCCATGAACTTTCAAGCCATTCATGGCAGTTTGTTAATGGATACATTTCTGACAGACTGTAAAGCTTAACAGGCACTGCTGGCTGCCAATAACTGCTGCCGGCATGTTGGTGCCGTCATCCGTGACCATGTAGCCACAGATGATGTTGCTGCCATCCACCCACTCTCTCAGGCTACTCAGTATCATGCTGGTGATGTTTTGTGCCATGTGGTCTTCATTTATCCGCCGCACGTGGCACAGAACCACTTTGTAGCCTGGTGGCAGGACTGTCCTCTCTTGTGACCTGGGCCATGCCCTGACAGTCCTGCTGGCTGTTCCAGAGGTCTGCCCTGAAGTGCACAGTTATGCCTTGCACTCTGGAAAGCTGAGCCTTGACCATCACCACTGCAGCCAGCAAAAGGCTACATCCTCCATGAGGAAGAAAGGTTGGCCATCCACAGCAAATATCTTGCTGATAAGGCAAGTGACTGCTTCCTGGGCCCTTCATGAAGCTCTTTTGACCTCTTAGAGAGTGACCCACCTTAATGTCCCACCCATGGCACCCTGAGGAGCCTTTTTTGGAGGGGTTTTCTGCTCCCCCTCCACTTCTCCCTGTGGAGAGGGAGTGGGCCTCTCCTTCATCCCCCTGGTCGCCACTCTTTCCTCTAGTGGCAACATAGTCGGGTGCACCCTTAGCCAGTGCCTGTAGAGGGAGGAGGAGGACAAGTGTTGGTGGTTGCACTTCTCCAGACATGGGTGTGGCACACCTGGCACTCTGCCACACTGGGGAGGGTGCAGAAATGTTTCCAAACTGCGGGTTTCCCCCCACCCTCTGAAAGACCGATGTCAGAGTCCTCCTCTCCAAAGAGTGTTAGCAACTGTTGGTGTCTCTGGGCAGTGCTAACAATTCTTTTGCCTTTGTGGAGAGCCCCAGGAATAGATCAGTGAAAGGAAGCTCTGAGACCCCTGGTGATGTCCTGCTAGGGCCGGGCTCCAGTAGGTTCGCAGGATGGATTTGGTGCCCAGGGATGGGGGCCTTTGGTGCACAGGGGGTGGAGGACTTATTCCCCTTACAATGAGCAACCTTTGCACCCACTTTCACCCTTATGGCACACAGAGGTGTTCACATTCAGGAGGGGTGGAACGGCATAAATGTGGGAGACCTTTTTTTGGGGGGGCTTCCATAAATGGAACCCCAGAAATGTAATCCACTGCCAACTTGGAGAGACTGTAGAGGAGCAGGTGGCTGGGTGAGGTTCCCTGTGTGTTTGGTGTGTGCAGCTTGCAGGGGGTCCAGTCCATATATTTTCGAATCTGTGCTTGACATTTTCCCCTAAAGCACTTTCCTGAGGGACTCTTCTTTGGGGGGCTGTAACTTGGATCCCCTAAGTCCAATCTGCATGTAATGTGGAGGGCATGTAAAGGAGCAATTTGGAAAGGTGCCCTGTGAGTTTGATGGCTCTAGCTTGCACAGGGTCCATTCTATACACTCCTAAACCTCCTAATCCTGCACCTGTCATTTCTGCCATTTCCCCAGAAAGGACTTTCCTGAGGGCACCTTCTTTGGGAGGATGTCACTTGGACCTCGTAAATCCAGTCTTCACCAGACATGGAGGGCTGATAGAGAAGAGTTAGCTGAAGATCCCTTGTGAGTTTGGTGTCTCTAGCACACCAGAGATGGCATCCTACCACATCATGAACCTCATGAATGGGTCCAGTTTGTTTAGTGCTAAAAAGTTTGTGATGGTTCATGGTTCGAGAACCCGGCATGCCATGAACCACGAACTGAACTGCGTTTTCCTGGTTTGTGCCCATTCCTATTTAAAGCTGTTGAGTATCAGGTCTTTTTAAAAAAAATAATAATGAAAAACTGATTGGAGGGGAGAGCACTGCAGTGTTGAGATTAAGAACAAGGTGAACAAGAAGGTCCTTGTCTAGCTCGAGGTCATACTTGTTTCACACTACTGCAATGTTCGTAGGAAATCTTCCTAGCAATTCCCTCTCTGTATCCTATTAGCATACTCAAAAGAATTGTGTAGAGAAGCTATTGGGGCATTTATCTATATGCTAGGCAGTGGTACTCTGTGGCTCATGGAGAGCCTCATTTGCCATTCCCATTTATCAGAAGAGCTACATAACTACAGTATGTCCTGCATATCAATCCAAACATGCACAAAAAGTAATGTATAATGTAACTTTTTAACTTACCAGAGTACCTCTCAGCAGCTAGAGCTATCTTTCTCCACTACTGGGAGATTTTTAAGGGCTAGAATTCAGCAGTGATATGCCCCATTCTACCACCTTATTTGGCTGCATATATTGAGCCAGCCTCAAACACAAAAACCTTACATCTGCAGAGCCTTGATTACATTAATTGTGATGGATGAGTTGTGTTGTGATTATAACATAAAACAGCTTTATCTTGGGCCCATAGTGATGATGAAATCATTCCAATTTCTAACGAAATTGCCCACTTTCCTGGAGCATGGGGCAGGTGCTATGAGGCATAGTGCCAAGAAGAGCCACATGTGGCATATCAAAGAGCCACATGTGGCTCCCAAGTCACTGAGAATTACTACTGTAGTAACTGGTGTTTTGCAGAAAAATAAACTGATGATTAAAAAAAATCAAATTCCAAATACAGAAATCTTAAGTCATGTATGCACTATGGTATGCAGACAGCACAGTGGCTGATCTCCCACCATCCCACAGGCAACATGGTCATATCACAGTTCTGTTTTTTCTAGTTTTGCCTGAGTAGGAAACATTCCATTCAAGTGACACGTCTCACAAGAAAGCCCCAGGTATTTTCTCTTCATGCAGATCTACAAAGGAATGAGCTGCTCAGTGTAACACACATCTTCACAGCCTCAGTGGCAGGTAGATCTGCACAAAACAAAAGTATCATGCTCTGTGCATTCCTTGTAAGGATGAGTGCGCAAGCATGCAAAACAGAATATGTGTCCTTATGTCAGTGTCAGTGAGAGCACGTATATGCAAGTTTGTGGCAGCATATGCATGGTAGGGTATGAGAGCGAGGGTGTGTGTTACCACACTAAGTTTTCAAGTGCAACAATGTGTATGTACATATGCAAATATGTTTGCATATGTACAGTTTTCAAGTGCAACAATGTGTATGTACACATACGTATGTACACATACTCAAACATCTGTGTCTCAGACCAGTAAATCCATCCCACTTCATTAGTCATCAACTATGTATTAATTAGGCATGGTTGGGCACCGACTGGTTTGGCTCATGTCCTATTCACTGGTTGTGAGCAGGAAGCTGATCTTTCATTAAGCTGTTTGGACGTGTTTAAATGAATTTGTGTCATTACACTAAATTCTTGAGCAATTATACTGATTTCTCATAGCAGCCACCTTCCCTTCCCTCACCACTTGTCCTTTGCCACTTCCAATTTTAAAAGGCAGATGATTAAAAAGAAAAAAATAGACTTACTATTTAGGTGTCTTCAGTGTCTGCTCTTTATATAAATTCATTTCTCCCTCCATTTACTGACATGGGAGAAGTATACCATCATATATATACCAATGAACACTATTATGACATGGGACCAGAAATATCGTGTGATGGTGGAAATGGTGTAATGGTATAATAGTTAATGGGGTTAATGGCAACTGGAACAAGCTGTTCAGAGGTTGACAACTGGAACTTCAGCTGCAGCAACCTGGCCTTGTAGAATAAGTGACTACTGTGTAGGCACAAAACTCAACACAAACTTTGACAATGATCATCAAGGTGATCTGATCATTTTTGATCAATGGCATTGAGAGAAATAAATTCACCTGACAATCAAATCTGGGTTAACGTTCGCAGCATTCCCTGTTTTAATATTACTTTTTGTAACCAGTTTAAGAGTGATTTCAATACCAGGTGCCTGGAAGAAGACGAAAAGCCATGCTAATGAATCCCCATATTTTCCACGTAATATTTTAAAATGTTCTACACAACTCTGGTATATGGCACAGCAGACAAATATGAGCCACCTGTGCGAATTGTAACTTTATGAGTATGTATCTCTAATATAAACTATTAAAATTTGTGAAAATGTGGTTATATTTCAAAGCAGCAATAACACACTCCAGGGGTTTTATTTAATGAGGCCATAATGTGCATGATTGGAGTAAACAAAGTGGTGATTTTTGTGGGTGGTTAAGCCAAACAGAGGCATTACTGAAGAAATGTATCTGAAAAGCAATTCATCTGTCAGCACACATAGCCTGCTTCTTGTACACCAAGGGAAGTCAACATTCTACAAAGCAGAGCTCTAAAAAATAAATCCCCCAAGTAGTTCAGATAGTTCTTTGCTGCTGCTGTTGCCTCAGACTTCCCACTGATGTCATGTTGACATCAGTGCCTCCATTTCATAGCCAGTTTCTCACCCTGTTCTTTGAAAGCTTTACACGGAAGTTTTGAGTCATGTTAGCACAACCCTACCTGCTGTTTTGAAAATGATTAGGGCACCACTTTAGTTAATCCCTTGGCAATCCATTACAGGCATTCTGAGCTGTAATAGTTCCTCATGTAGAGCAGAAAGCAGAAAAGGGGGATCTGTAATGTGAATGAGCATCAGATCTGACTGATGGGGAAGGCAACGAGAGTCTGTGCCTGGCATCAGTGCCATTGGTTGGGTCTGAGCCAAACAGGTCCTCTGGCACTGCCAGCACTATTGGGTTTAGCTCGGTTCACTTCTGACTGGCGACAATCCTTATATATATTAAAATTATGCCCCAGGAAACTGTAGGTATGAACCCATGTTGTTTAGCTGCTTGAGTGGCTTGGGCAGGAAGGGGCAAAGCTGAACCTTACTTGAGGTGTCAAAATACCTGAACCAGTCCTGAGCCCAAATACACACTAGCTTTGGTCTACTCTAGTTGATACAAGTATCATGGGAACATTTCTCTTTTTCATATGGTATATTGGTCGCTGTTACATCCTTTCCTTCCAGTGGGCATCCTGTATCATTTTATGGCATGCATGGCCTGGCCTGACCAACAAGTGACACTTATGTCAGATCAGGCCTTCATAACAAATGACACCTCTGCTGTAACCCACCCTTGATGGTGAACTGGAGTGCTTTATGACCTTTGAAGGTTACCAGCTCTGGCTCAGGAAATTCTTGAGATTTGGGGGCAGTGCCTGGGGAGGCAGAGTTAGGGGAGGGGAGCGATCTCAGCAGGGAAGTCATGCCATATAGTTAGGGTTGTCAAGTCGGCATGACTCACTGGCGGGGAGTGTTTCTTCCGTCCGGGAGCTGCCGAGGGACACGCGCGCACGCATGAAGTGTGCGTGTGCCGCCAGAACATCACAGGAAGTGACGCATGACATAGGGCACGTTGGGGGCGTGGCCCAGATCATCGGGGGAAAACCATATGTTTCCCCCCGATGATTTGGGCCACGCCCCCAACGTGCCCTACGTCGTGCGTCACCTCTGACGCAGCTTCGGGGGGTGGAGTTCCCCCCGGGGCCCGATTCCGCCGTGGCAGAAATCGGGCCTCCAAAGCAGGGGGAAATCCGCCCCCCGGGGGGATTTGGCAGCCCTAGTCAGGCCCCATCTGGAGTACTGTGTAGAGTTCTGGAGGCCTCACTTCAAAAAGGATGTGGACAAAGTGGAGCAGGTGTAGAACTGAGCAACGAGGTTGATCAGGGGCCTGGAGACACTCTAATATGTGTGTTTCTAGGCTGCGCTAGGCTGGTTCTACATTGAGCAGGGGTTTGGACTAGACGACCTGTACAGCCCCAACTCCATGATAGAGAAGAGGACGTTAGGATTTTTTATACATGGTTACAGTGTGTTGCATGGAGTTTGCCTTTCCTTTACTTACACTATATTATGCACTAACTTTTTGGTCTCTGACTGCATTCCTGTGGATTTTTACTTTGGAGTAAGCCACTTGCACTCAGTAGCACTTTGGAAGAACACTGCTAGGCCACCTTGCCATAAGACCATGCCAAAGCATTCCTCAACAAAAGCACAAATACAGTCATAAATGTTGACATTTTATATATATATATATATATATATACACA